CACAGCTTTGTGAGCCCTCTCTCTCTCGCTCTTTTTCTCTCTCAGATTTGCTCTTGATCCTTCCTGGTTATGGCTCAAGGACCAGCCTACACGAATTATCCTCCTCTCTGATCTTCTAGCCCCATAAACATTTTTGTGCAGGGCTTAAGGCCAGTCCCCCTGCTCCTCCGCCTCCATCCAAAACATGACTGAGAAGATACAATGTATGAAGGGCCTATAATCGCTGCCCATAAATCCTCTCTCATCTGGGTCGGTTTCCCAACCCTTCTTACACCCGCTACATCCTTCAAAACCCGAAAGTCTGGATTGGGGCGATGCCAGCTAGAAGTGCGGCAGCCTGGGCGGCTCTCAGGCCCTCTCATCGCTCATCTCCTTTGGTGGCTAAGGAACTCGGTCTGAGAGCCAAGTTAAATAAACTCTACTCTGGAAGTCAGCAGAGTGGTCCCACTTAAGTCAACTTTCTAGTTTAGGAAGCTTTGAGAGGAAGCCTTGATTTTGACTTTAGATAACAGCACCTCTCATAGCCAGCACCCAGATCACAGTTCCTAAATACCATTCCCCACAGAAGGAATTAGGAGTCATGGAGAAATGGCTGGTTCAAGGCCCTGGACATAAATAATCAAAGTGAACTTGAAACGTTTCTGGGGGGCCAGAAAGCGAGAAATTGCTTAAAGAATGATGCATTGGAGCCAGCTTGAAGGGTCTTCATTGGCCAATTCTGGGACAATTTGACCATCAAAAAGAAAAATGATGACAACACTATGAAACATGGAAAAAATATAAATTCATGAGTCTATAGTGCAGTAAAAGAGAGAGAAAGTCAGATGTGGGAAAATAATTGGTGAATCCACGTGAAGGGTATATGAATGTACTATTCTTTTAACTCTCTATAGACTAGACATTTTTCAAAATAAAAAGTTAGGGAAAGGAAGAAAGAATCAGCTCCTTTCCATAGCCTGGATATTCTGAGCTCATTAAACCAATCTTTCCTGGGCAGCAAGATGTGAATAAAGTCCTCTCCTGGGCTCAGTGACCTCAGGCCCTTCTCCTATTATCTCGGCTAATATAACCTGTCAGTGGTTATGAATGAACTGATCACACATGGATTTTAAGACTGTCGTAAGTTAGGTTAATACTAATTATAACAAACATCATCAAGGACAGCGAGCAAATAAAGGTGCTCTGTCTAGTGTGTGCTCAGGGCTGAACGGTCTACAACTCGAATATAAAAGAGTCTGATCCTCTCTGGCATTTGCCTGTCACTTCCCCTTCTTTCTAAGGTTCTATATGGCACTCAGGAGAACATGCCAGGGCTCACGTTGGCATTCAGCAGGAGCATCCTACAGAATTAACAGGTCCAAAAGGATCACTTGGGTGCCATCTACTGGGTAAACGCTTGCACTGCACTGGTGCTCCAGCACCGCGCCCCAGCCATGAACAGGCCACCCAAGTGTTCAGCTCCCCCTTCGCAGAGGCAGGCAGCACAGTGCCCACACCAGGCAGGCATTCAACAAACAGTGACATGAATGACTTCCGCCTTTGAATTCCCTTCACAGTTATTTAGTGCCAATATTAGGTGTGGGTGATGAGCATCTAATAACATTATATTGATGTCTTATGGTCAAGTCCTATTTCCATAGATGGACTGTAAACTCATGGAGGGCTCATTGTTTTCGCTGGCGACCAGCCCAGTGCTCCACACGAAGTGCTCCATAAATGCTTGTGGCTGGGACCAGATAACGCACACTGTGTGGAATGAGGCTTTCAGAACAAGCATAATGAAAAGGAACAAGCATAACTGAACCAACACAGAATGAGACAGGAATCTGACCACTATTCTGTTTGTTTCTGTTGACCACACTCCAGTTTTTTTTTTACTTTTTTTTTTTTGTCTTTCTTCTCTAAATTGCAAACTCCACGATGGCAAGGACCATGTCTGTCTTGCTTATCATTGTATATCCAGCACCTAGCAGCATCAGTTCAAGAAATATTTTTTGGATGGATGGGTAGATTAATGAATGAGGGCATGTACTCCCTGCTCTGCTTGCGCAGGTGTGGTGACTAGGTGCCCTGAGCCAGTTCTGCTGACACCACCGCTATCCAACCAACTAGACTCCATATACAACCAATTCTTACACCGAGGCTAAACCCAAGACTCAACCAATAGATGCTATTTGGAAAGACAGGATTTCTTTGGGCAACTGCTATCCTTCTCTTGTTACTATTTGCTTTATTGATCACCTATATGCAAATACTCTTCCCTTCTCTGCCCTGTCTCCTGAACAAACCCACTTACTCACACAGAGTGACTGGAGTATTGTTTAGGAAGTATTTGTACCATTCTCCCTTGGGATGGAGTATACATCCCTACATGACTGATCTGGGGCTTGGCCACATGACTTCTTCTGGAATGTTAGTGAATGTGACGTGGGCAGAGGACTTAAATGTGCTGTGTGTTTGGCTTGGCCTCTGCGCTTCTGCAACCTGCCCTGAGAAGAGCATGCCCCATGTAGCTGCTGCCCCTTTGGCCTGAGCCCTGAAGCCTGGAGCTCAACCCATGCCAGCCGGGCTGAAATCAGCTGAACCCCAGCCAACTCACAGACCCATGATAAAGAAAAACAAACATTTGTCCTTTAGAGATGGCTTGTCACACAGCAAAAATGAATATATATGAACACATTATCACCACTACTACTGAAAGCTGCAACCTGCAATTCTATTCCCTGATCACAATACCCCTTCCACCCATAGGTTCCACTACTTTATTACCAATAAGCCTGCCTTTCCACCTCACTGAGACCTCCAGGCCCTATTCTCTCTCTCCCAGGCTCTTTCTGGTTTCAAGTCCTACCCAACCTGGACAGTCATGTCTTAGTCAACTCTTGGATCAACCAAATGACTGTTTTCTTCACCTCTGCTACCATGCTGCTGACGAGCATGGCCCAGCGGTCCTGACTGCATCACCTCCGTGGGAGATCCAGCTTCACCTGGGTCCTCAGTCTTGCTTGGTGTCCAAGCTTTAACTCCTCATGTGGCTGTCCCAAACCTCTTGTACTCTCAAGCCCCAGCCTCACTTCACTCTGCTCTCGGTAGAGATTTCAGTTCCCACTTTTCAGTGAAAATAGAGCTGTTTGAGGGGAGGTAGGGTGGTACTGTGGTTAAGAACAAGGGGTCTGGAAGCACACAGACATACACAGCCTCCTGTTTTGCCCACACCTGAGCAAACTCAGAGCTCAACCATCACCTCCTGTCTAAACCCTCCCCTATCCCTGACTCCCTGTGATCAACTGTTCTCTTGTCCATGTTCTCAGAGCACTTAGCCATACCCTAGCTCACAACTTTTCCTTGGCTTCCCACTGCAACTAGAATAACATCTAAACTCTACCTAGTTTACCTATGAGGTCATGCATGATCCAGCTCCTGCCCATGGCTCCAACCCCATCACACACCCCTTCTCCATTCACTCACACAGAGAAAGGGCGACCTTCCATATCCAAATGGGAGAAAACCCCGGAGTTATCTTATATACTCCAAATGTCAATGTGAACCCTAAAACTGTGCATTATACCTATAAGTATGTCTCTCTTAAACTTCTACTGAAAGTGGTTGTATTTCTAGACCACCTACCAGCTCAGCGATTAAAGAGCATATGGAATCATAATGATATATTTACTGCATTTGTTGAGTTTTTATTATGTGCCAGGCAGAGAGCTAAGTGCTTCACACGCATTATCTCATTTAATTCTTGGAACAGCTCTAAGAGGTAGGTAGCATTATTCCCATTTTAAAGAAGAGGAGACTGGGATTAGCAAGGTTAAATGACATGGCCAAGGCCACATGCTTGTGACTGGCACAGTCATTATTAAACCCAGGTCTGTGTCATTCCCAAACCTGTGCTTCTGATCACTATCCTACACTGTCTCCAGAGAAGAGCTGCCAAAGGAAGACCAGGGTTAAATTCTGTAGCTAAGCTACCTAGAAGATAATCTACCATGTACTAAATTAAATTTCCTAGAAACCACCTAAAATGGCATTGAAGTTTTAAATCTACAACCAAGATCAGCACTTTAAAAATCATCTGTATTCTGGATAATTTAACTCCCAGGCTCATCCTAAAATACCAACACACCCCTTCTCCTCCAGGTCCAGTTGAGTTCCTCAGCTGAAGACTACATTGTCACCCTTTGCCCAGACTCTCGAAACTCATGGCATTTTGTCACAGGTTGGATCAGGCAAAGAACACCTACAGCACTCCATCCTCCCTCTCTGTACACTGGGAACATCAGTCATCAGTGTAAACTTGCTCAGACGGTAAGACCATCCTGACTGCTTCTGAGTCAAATAGGGAACATGTAAAATAGGCTTAACAAAGTAATAACAATTTTACACTGCTCCAGATCCAGACTCTCAGAGGGATATTCAGCATCAGGGCACTGCAGAGGGGAATCTCAAACTGAGAGGGAGGTTGGATTTCCACTCCATTTTCAAAGGATTATTGAAACTAAAAATTAAGTAATTCTTGGAGATCAAGTTGAACCCAGAAAGAATCCCTTTCCTGGGACAAGTGGCATGCTGACAATTCGATGTGGGTTTCAGGAATTTAACTCAGGATTCCAGAAGTTTACCAATAGAAATTCATATTTAAAATGCACCACAGACTTAGCATTTTTGAAGCTTTATTCACTGTTTGCTGACCAATAATACCAAGCAACTGCTTCTGGAATGGACACAGAGCATGCTGTTTGCAGAATGCCTTGGCTTCATTTAGAGAAAGGGGAAGATTTAAGAGCAGATACACACCTCCTGTGACCAATTCCAAACAGATGCCCACAGTTCACACCCAGCAGATGGAAACACATCTTTGTTTTTTATAGTCTTACCTAGAAAGCCCTCTGGCCACAAGCTTTCCAGAACTCAGATTCCAACAAGACAAACCTCAGTCCCTTACAAGCCTTTAAAACAGCATGCACTGGAGAAGGAGCCATTCAGGGTCTACTCACGCATGCAGTCTCCTCCGTACCAGCCTGCTCGGCATTCTGCACAGTAGATCCCCTTCACGTAGAAGTCATCCAGAGTGCCCCCCCATGAGCCGTTTCGGCAGGTCTTGCAGTTATCAAAGATGGTACAACCTGAGACACGTCCAAGAAGAAGGGCATTAGAGGAAGCACTTGCAGGCTCTGACCAGCTGCATGAGAGAAAGCGCGCAGCTTCTCAGAGCCTTGTCTCAGCCAAGGGCGTCTGGCCCTAGAAAGGTGCCAAAGCCCCTGGGAAACACTGCTCATCCCTAGGAAGATGCTGGAGTCACCAGACCTCCGACTGAGGGTGTAGGAGGGCGGTCTGAACGCTCTTCCTAGTTAGTGGCTGATGTTTTAAAGTAACATGAAATTACCTGTAGTAAAAGGTAGACTCTATCAATATGGTGTATTCCTTCCTTTTGATAAATGGATTACATGTTTATTGTGGCATATTTAGAAAATTCAGACAAGCAAAAAGAATTCAATTAAAAACATCTAAAATTCCACCACCGAGAGAAAACTATTGGTAACACTCTCTCTATATATATACAAACGCATTTTTTTTTTAATTAGGCTTATACCATATACTGTACATTACGGTTTTGTAACTTACCTTTTCATTTAACAATAGATAGTAAATATCTTCTCACTCCATTAAATATTCTTCTATGTCATATACTTCCATAACCCAAGTATGCCATTGGAAACAACCGTATTGCCTAATAAAGGGCTCATCCTGGAAGGTGTCAGACCGCCCCCCACCTGCAGGCCATGCTAGAGAGGGTTGAGCAGTTTCCAGTCAAGGGTCATTTTTAAAACATGGTCTCTTGAGGGGTGGGGGATAGTGAGGAAAGGCAGAGATAATCCAATCCCATTTATTAAAATGGAGAGCTAAGTTCTGGCTCTGCCATTGTCCAGCTGTGTGTCCCTGAGAAAATGGCTTAAGCTCTCTGCGCTTCAATGTCCTCATCTGTAAAACTGGGGTTAAAAATTGTACCTACCTCAAAGGGTTGTTTTAAAAATTATATGAACATATGTAAAGGGCCTAGCACATAGTTAGTACCCCCAAAATATGGGATATTATTATTATTATTATGCTTTCCCATACCTCCACTTGGCTTATTACTACCACTGCATATAGTATGCTCAATGTTAACTGGCTATTATCTGTTTTCATATAAGGGACTGAAATCAGGGACTGCATCTTGTTCAACATTATATTCCCAGCATTTAATTCAATAGCTGGTACATAACAGGTGATCAATAAACATTATTTGAGTGAATGAATAAATGGATAGATGGATAGATAGATGGATGGATGGATGGATTGCTAATCCAGGTTTCTGAACTGTTTGAGATAACTAGCATTTCCTTGAGCTGATAGCATACTTTGCTTTTGGCTGAAATTAGGTTTTGGTTGGCCCACCGTGTATATACGCAGGGTAGGTATGTGTGGTTTCTGCAGGAGAGAGACCTGTAGCCCTCTCTTTGCACACCATCCTGACTTTGCTTCCCTCTCCCAGCGCCTCCTCCCACCAGAGAAAAAGAGTTGCTAATACAAGTCAGCAAATTTCAGCAGGTCAGGTGGCTCATAACTGGGTCCCAATGGGGTCACTGTGCCCTCTAAAGGCCCTCTTCACCCACGGGCCACTTCCCGCTCTTTGATTCCTCATCCACTGTGCCAATGAGGAGACAAGTGGGCTCCGAGTCTGCCTTCAACGACCCTGCCAACTCTCTTTCTTGGCACAGTAACATCCGGACCACTAGGTGCAAGCCACAAACACCAGCCTGGCGATGAAGAGGAACAAGGCTATGTTAAAAAGATACTAAGCAGCTCACAGAATTGCCAGGAGGGCCACAGGACCGAGTTCAGAGCTATACAGCCTAGAACCGCATGGAAACACATAGCAGACTTGGTCCAGTGAGGGCCCCAGCGCTGCCGGGCACTACTGAAAGTCACCACTGACACTCCACCACCACGCTCCTGGACATTGATCCTCCTGCGACCACTGCACCAAAAAGGACAGTTGTCCAGCATAACGACAGAAATTCTAAAATCGTGCTGGGATGCCATTTCTCACCTTTGAGATTGGCGAAAGTGACACATTCTGTTGCAAGGCTCTGGGAAAATAGTCACCTCACACATGGCACTGTGAATGCCAAGTGCACGGAGGAGAATTCGGCAAAGGCTGGCAAGATGACATAGGCCCCTTCCTTTGACTCAGCAATCCGTCTTCTAGGAATCTACCCCGGAGATGCACTGCAAAAATGCTAAATGATGGATGCCTGAGGCTATTCCCTGCAGTATTATTTATAATAGCAAAAGGCTGGAAACAACACAAATTCTCACCAACTATGGTAATCCATACAACGCAGTTATATGCAACTGTAAAAAGAAATGAAAAAAACAGCTTTATACTGTCAGTGAGTGATCTCCAGCATATATTAAGAGAAAAAAGCAAGGCAGTAGGTAGTGTTAATAGTATGCTATCTTTTGTGTGAGAAGGGGAAAGATATATAAACACACATACATATTTGCTTGTATTGTCAAATATAGAAAACATAAACCTGTCTATATATCAGGTAGGTGGTATAACACCACAGACAAAAGAACTACATCAACTGGCTTTAAAATATAGTATTTTGAATGCACATACCTAGTGGGACATATTCTAAGGTCAATAATAACCCAATCATCAGTGGTCTTATTGTCAGTACTAATAGTGCTATTGTTATTTTGTACAATTATACTAGGTTATCATATAAGATACAGCAAATAAGTGATTAGGTTAATATTATTAGAAAATAGGATTTTCACCATGAGAGAAATGATACACAAATATAAAATCAAAGAAGTTAATTAAACAACCTTGGAATATTGCATTTAAATTTAAGTATCAGCATAAACTCATCTTTTTGTTTTTTAAAAAAATACATATTTCCTAGCTCCATCCACTTAAAAAAAAACTCAAAATCTAGTAACAACACCAGTCCAACAGCAAGGAACACCTCAGGTGCCCAGATTGTGGTCTCCAAACAGAATTCCTTGGAGAAATGGCTGATTCCAGATATGGGGCAGAAAATGCACAAGAAGAGTCTGAAACATCCTGTTATGCAAGAAATCAAGGCAGTCTTCACAGACTAGTGTGGTCATGTCAGAAGAAGATGGACATAAGGAGGCTCCCAGTGTCCTAAGACATTATGAGGCGTGCATTAAAATGAATAATGACTGAAATGGATTAAATCACAGGAATAAATAAAAATGCCTAAGTTCATAATCACACACACACACACACACACACACACGCACAGAAACCTCTCCGATCACCAACAGGGACTGCTAAGGCATCAACTCACTATTTTGAAAATAAGTTAAAAAAAAAAAAAAAAAGGAATTTCTCTAGCCTTTCCTTTCCAGGTAACGCAGTGGCTGAGGTGGGCCAGCTCTGCGCTACTGACATCCAAAGCTTACCCCCAGCACGGCTCCCGGTGGTGACGTAGGTGCCTCCTGTGTGCTGGTGCTTCTTCCAGACCACCTCTCTCCTCCCCCCACCAGCACCACATGGCACCACATGTGCAGGTCTTGCTTATCACGTGACCCCTGCCATCCCGTAAGACCACAGCCCCACCCTCACCCCAACAGTAACCGTTAGGCTTTTGAAAATATTGCACATCATTCAAAGATTTCAATACCACTGCCAAGGAGCCCCCATCAGGAGACCCTGGCTCAGCTCTCAAAATTTCCTTAGGAAATTTGGAGGCACTACTCCGAGATTTCACTACAAACCACACTCATCACCAGGGAATTGGGCGGTGGGTTTCTTTTCTGGATCAAATGTGCAAAGGCGACTCTGAGGTCACGCCTACTGTAAAGCTCGGCATCGCTCTCCTCCAAGAAAGAAGGTGGTTTAGAAGCACCTCGTGTACACTCGAGCCACCTTAGTTTCTCCTCTTCTATAGCTTCCCACAAAAGAAAGCTCAGGGTAGGAATGTGTGTCATTCTCTATGTGTGTTAAGAAGGGGAAAGGCAGAAATGAGAGAAATTGCCAAAGCACACTTGTGACATTCTTCAGTCTTCAGCCTAAGGAAAGTGTTTTTGAAGCTCTCTATGTCCTCCCTTTGGTCTGGCCTAGAAAGTTGAGAGTCCCCTGGGAAAAGTCGGATGCACAAGGCAGCAGACACGAGAGCACCAAGAACACGTTCAATGAGTTGTTAATCCCATTGGAAACATGATCAGTGTCCACACTGGCCTCCACCCGGACAGGCACTTCAGCGAAAAAGGACAATCCCTGACCCTCTCTGGTGGGGGAGGGGAGAGGTGGAAGAAGGTAGGTTCAGCCTGAGGTACAGGCAAAGGAATGGGCACCGTGGCCCGGGAAGGTCCCATCTCACCCTAAGATGTTCCCTCGTCACTGGACCACCTCCCAAGTGTCCAGCTCAGAGCCAGAGCGCCAGCCTTGACTTCTGCTCTTCCCTTCCCCACCTTCCCCATCCAACCAATCCCAAAGTGTCAATTCCACTCTCTTTCATCTTTCAAATCCATTATCCATAGGCTTCTGCGTTCATTAAGGTCTCCATTATCCTCCGCTGCCTCCAGCCGTGTCCTTCCTCCAGTCCCTTCTCTATACTGCAGCTCAAGAGAACATCGGCTTTCACCTCTTTACTCGAAGATCTCCAATGTCGCTAAAATACCCTCCAGATATAGCCTAAACTTCAGAGCACAGCTTGCAAAGCCCTTCAGGGTCTGGCCCCTGTTCTGTCTCTCAGATTGCTCTCTCTCAATCTTCTTTGTCTGTCTATCTGTTTTCTCTCTCCATGTTTCTCAGCACACACACATCCACATACATACATACTCATACACACATATGTACACACTCATACAACTTACACACTCATACACACACATATATACACACACATATACATACACATACACACACTTCTCTGGCCAGACTGAGCTTCTTGCAATTCCCTAAATCCCATGCTTTCTCTTGCCACAGGGCCTTAGCACATGCTGTCCCCTGTGGCTTGACCTGTCTACCAGATCCACTTCACCCTTTTAGGTTGTCGCTTCCACCTCAGCACACACATCCTCCTGTAGGAAGTCTCCACTGACCTCCCCCCCACGACCCCAGCCCCATCCGTGCTCCCAGGGTACCTGTGCTTCTCTATCACAGCACCTACCACACTGTGTCATAGCTGCCTGGTTACCCCTCCATCTCCCCACCACACTGCAAGCTCTGGGAAGGCGTGAATGGGTCTTTTTTTAATCATTGCATTCCCAGAACCTGACATGGTACATAGATGGTCAGTCTGTTTGTTAAATGAATGAATGAGTGATGAATTCACAGCTTTACAAGTTTAACACTGAAAAGGGTACTAACTCTTCCAATTCCTTTGCCTGTAGTCAGAACAGGTCAATTATGCCACTTTCAATAATCATGGCATCACAGCCTCCTGATGCCTGCCTGCCAGAACCCCATTGTCCAGCCTGTTTCCGTTCATGACCCTGGGAACCATGAAGGCAACCTGAGGTCTCCCATTCCACACTCACCCGGGTGAATCAGGCAGGAGTCACACTCATTCTCCTCGTTCCTGCAGCAAGGGATGGTGTAACCCACGACTTCTTTCTTCCCAGGGCAGACGCATTCAATCTGATCGTACTCGCAACACTCCCGACACATGATATTCCACTCGGCTCCGGGGCAGGCTTCGTTAATGACTGTGTACTCTGAAAGGGAAACAAACCAGCAGGTGAGGACGTGGGTCCTGGCAGGAAGGAGTAAGACCCATAAGTACCTCACTGCTGAGAAGCACCCTTGCCCTGCTCGAATGACAGAGAAGACTGTATGAATTCTGCCTAGGCCAGTGTCTCCAGAGTGGGGTGGCCACCTCAAAGGCATTTAAGACCATCTAGCAGCACACAGATGAAATTTGTTAGAACTGTTATTTATTTTTATTCTTTAATCAAAAAGAAAGAAATCATGTCTTATCAATATATACTCTAAGTAGATTGATACACATAAATAATTTATAAACAAGTATACACCTGTTAAGTGTCTAGGCTCATTTCTATTTTTGCAGGGGTGCATCAGGCCACTGCTTACAGCCGCCTAGGTCATGCACTGGACAACTCCAGGAGGAACTATTCAACTGCACAACTGTACAGTGCAGCCCAGGCACTTGGGCCATCAAAAAAAAAAAGGAGACCACTCTCTAGACTGGGCCATTCAAGTGCAAGGCTGATTGCCAAGCAGGGACCACGTCATTTCCTCCAAACTTGGCTCGTCGATTTCACAGTGTGCCATTTTTATGGTATCTTCAAAGCTAAAACCAACAGAAAAGACAAAAAGTATCTTAATTAGTATGTTTGGGAGGAGTGCAATGTTTTACAAGGGTGAACTCATTGGCAGAACTTCATTCAGTCCCCAAATACAACTGAGTGTTCTTTCCCATGAGAAAAAATGAATTCCTTCCTGAAAGAATTTCTTTCTTTCTTCTTTTTTAAAATATACCTTAAGTAAATGAAAAAGGAAAACCATCTGGTAAAATCTATAAGAGGAATCTGTCAGAGGCTGCCCAGAGGAATCCAGGCTGAGAAACAGACTTAGCTTTGATTTGCTTCTCTTTCTTCCCCACTGGCCATTTCTAAAAATTCTACACAAAGATGATGAGTGAAGCAGAAATAGGTCAGATATTGGAGGGAGAAAGTGAATCTGGCTTCCCCATGAAGCCTTCCCTCAAAAGCCCAGGCAGGGATCCGCAACATGCTTTGTAGGCCCACAGAAACCAGCCCAAGCAACTGTGGTGGCTTCTCACCTCTTGAATTTCATAGTTTATTTTCTATTTTCCTCCCCTAAATTTGGAAGTCTGACACAGAGCTGATCATTCTTAATTTGCCAAATAGAGCCCTTTAAAAAAAATATCACCATCTACTCTCACCCTCTGGTCATAAGAACATTTTAGCATTATAGAAAGGAACCACTTGCATAATAAGGGACAGTTCCTTAAATGGAATAAATTTAGCTTTATGAAAAATGTGCTCATTTTTTCCCAGAAACACTGGTGGACCAGGAAAGATCTCACACTGGCATTTGGGAACGAGGGGTAGAGATCATCGCAGTCTTGTCACTACTGAGGTTTTCTTTCCCCAACTACCCTGCGTGCCCCTCCAGAACGGACGCCAGGCCTGGCTCAGCTGAGCTTCCCATGATCCTGAAGTTGGCCAAATGAAGCAAATGACTTCTAAAATCTAGACGAGAACTTAACAGTTAAAAGTGAAGAAAAGCAGAAGAAAACACAGGGGTAAATCTCCATGATCTTGTATTTGGAGTGAATTCTTGGATATGACACTTAAGCATGAGCAACAAAAGAAAAACAGATAAATTGGACTTTATCAAAACTAAAAAAACTTATGCAACAAAAGGCATTGTTAAGAAAATGAAAAGACAACATACAAAATGGGAGAAAAGACTTGCAAATTATATATCTGATAAGGGTTTAATATCCAGAATATATAAAGAACTCCTACAACTCAATCACAAAAAGACAACCCAATTTTTAAAATGGGCAAATAGCACAAATAGACATTTCTCCAAAGAAGATATAGAAATGGCCACTAAACTCATGAAAAGATGCTCGACATCACAAGTCATTGAGGAAATACAAATCCAAACCATCTCACAGTACTAGGATGGATATACAAGAGGAAAAGAACAAAAGTTGGCAAAGATGTAGAGAAATTGGAATCATCATCTATTGCTGGTGGGAGTGAAAAATGGCGCAGCTGCTGTGGAAACTGGTTTGACAGTCCCTTCAAAAGCTAAGTGTAGAATTATCGCATGACCCAGCAATTCTACTCCCACATATATACCCAAAAAAATTGAAAACAGGGATTCAAATGGATATTTGTACGCCAATGTTTATTGCAGCATTATTTACAATAGGTAAAAGGTGAAAACAACCCAAGTGTCCACCGAGAAATGAGTAAATAAAATGTGGTATATGCATACAATTCAGAATATGGAATACTACTTAGCCATGAAAATGAACGAGGCGCTGATAGATGCTACAATAGGGATGAATCTTGAAAACACTATGCTAAGTGAAAGAAGCCAGACACAAAAGGACAAATATTGCCTCGAAAAAATTTTGGAAACAGATAGTGGTGATGGTTGCACAACACTGTGAATATAATTAATGCCACTGAATTGTACACTTAAAATGGTTAATATGACAAATTTTATGTTACCAATTTTACACACATATAAAATGTTATAAATTTTTTATTTTACCAGATTTTTAATGTAAAAAAATAGTGACAGAAAACAAAATACTTAAAGGTTCAAGCATTGGAGTCAGACAGACCTGGGTTTGGAACGCCACCCCTGCTACCGAGTGGGTGTATGACCTTGACTAAGTCACTGGACACGCTCAGCCTCAGTTTACTCTCCAGCGAAATGAGCACATTTTATCCGACTCAGAGGCCTGCTGCAAGGACTGGATAATGTACATAGAGCTCAACACAGTGCCCAGGATGTGTGGTGAGCATTCAATAACTAGTAGCTTTAAAAGAAAAACAGCCACATTTCTCAAGGATCTTATGTTTAAAATGGATGGCATACCCACTTCTGACTTAAAATGTTCCTGTTGTGTCCCACTGTATTTGGAACGAACCCCAAGTGCTCTGCTATGGCCCACAGAACCCCTCACCCCCCGACCCCTCCAACGTTCTCTTGGCCACTGCTTCCCACCTTCTATCAGTTTCTCGAAACCCCGAGCTCTTGCCCACCCCAGGGCCTTCACGTCTGCCCTTCCCACTGACTCTGTCTCAAGCTTTAGGCCTTCGTGTCAATGCTACCTGTTCCCAGCGGTCCTCACTGACCTTCTCACCTGAACCCACACCATCGCCACCCCCTCCAGGGTCGTCTCTAGCACAGAGTCCCACTTGTTTCCTTTCACAGCCCTTAACACAACTGATAATCGTTTTCTATGTTTCCATTTACTAGCTTGTAGTCTGTCTCCCTTGCATGACCATAAGCTAGGAGGAACCACATCTAACTTGTTCACAGCTGCTAGGGAAGGGCCTGGCACGCAAGAGGCACTTAATAAATACTTGCTGAATGAATCGGCCCTAACTCGAGGGCCACCCTCCCTTCAATAGCCCAATATTTCCATCCAGTGGGGCCAGCTCGGAGCTATGAACCAGAGGAGCGGGCCTCGCCCCCCAATTTGCTGATATCAAAGCTGGGGCACTTTCTATCCCATGGTGAAGTATCTAGAACAGTCAGTCCAGGTGACCTGACGTGGGTCCAAATTCCTTGGCTCCAGCCCCGCCTTGTCCAGCCACATGATTTCTCCACTCTGATCAGCAACTATGCCTGTGGGGTGTGGCTCACGCCTTACTCCCTCCCTATGTTCACCCCAGGGCAAGCACTACGTCCTTCTAGGCTTTCTAAGAACTTATAAATAGTAATAACTCCTGGGTTGGGGCAGCACTGACAGGATACAAGTCATCTGCAACTTTTGTAAGACTTTGTTCTTAAAGGTGGGAGGCTAAGTAGGGTCTGCTTCACTCCAGCAGAGAGCAAAGCCTGTTCCTCCCTAACAGCAGATTTGTCCACCTCCGACCCAGCCACGGAATACTGTCGGCCTCCCTTTTACGCCGGAATTCCCTAAAATGCCTTCACTGGCATTTCTCTTCATTTCAATGAGCAAGCCCACCTCTGCCCTCCCTAGCTCTCTGTACTAACTTTATAGGTAATGTCCAGAGTACTGTATCATCTTAGCCAAAGGGAATGATCCCAGGGAAGCCCATTTACATCCTATCTGCCAGGTCAGCCAGCTGGCTCCTTTTCAAGGACTCTGTGTGTGGTAGACAGAATATGGGCCCCCAAAGACGTCCACGTCCTAATCCCCAGAACCTGTGAAAATGTTACCTAACATGGCAGAAGGGATTTTGCAGATGTGACTAATTTAAGGATCTTGAGACGGGAAGAGTACGCTGGATTGTCCGGGTGGGCCCAATGCAATCACAGGACCCTTATAAGAGGGAGGCAGGAGGGTCAGAGTCAGAAAAGGACATGTGATGACAGAAGCAGAGACCGGAGGGATGTGCCTTGAGGATGGAGGAAGGGACCATGACCCAAGGAAGGCAGGCCGCCTCTAGAAGCTGGACAAAGCAAGGAAACAGATCCTCCCCTGCAGCATCCCAAAGGAACGCAGGCCTTCTGACACCTTGATTTTAGCCTCATAAGGCTCATTTCACTGACCTCCAGAACTGTAAGACAATAAACGTGCAGTGTTAAGTTACTAAGTTTATGCTAATTGTCACAGCATCCGTAGGGAACTAATACACTATGTCCTCTCAAAAAGGTTAGGCCCGGCCAGTGGTGTAGTGGTTAAGTTCACATGCTCTGCTTCGGCGGCCCAGGTTCCTACCCCACCCATCAAGCCATGCTGTGGCAGTGACCCATAAACAAAATAGAGGAAGACTGGCACAGGTGTTAGCTCAGGGCCAATCTTCCTCAAGGAAAAAAAAAAGAGGAAGAATGGCAACAGATGTTAGCTCAGAGTGAGTTTTCCTAAGCAAAAAAAAAAAGGTTAACCCACAGCAAGTCAGTTAATCACTCTGTTCCTCAGTTTCCCCACTGAGCACAGTGTCAAGAGTGTGGGTGAATTGAGGAATTCATTCTTTTATTCCACAAGTATTTATTGAGTGTCCAGTATGTC